AAAGCATTATAAGTCTATAGAAGTTCTTTGTAGGAATGAAACTCATTACATAGGAGTTATTTCCACTTTGACATTCAATCACACATGCGCGCACGCACACACACACACACACACACACACACACACACACACACACACACACATAGTTCATTTTGTTAACATTTTATTGTGAGTTTTTAAAAGATAAATACATTCCATTTCTCATAAGGTTCTAATTTATCCACCTCCCATTTCCCTGGAGATTACTTGACCCATGAAGCATTGATCTTATTTAAATTTGTTAGCATAGTAAACCTAAAAAATAACTGTTTTAATATAACTCAAATTTAAATTCAATATGCGAGCTATGTACACATGTTAATTCCTTTATATCACATATATTATTGTTAAGATTTTGATCAGGCTACTAGGTTGTGACATGTTTACTCATGAATATGGACAATATTGTTTGGGCTGGTTTTGTGGAAAGAGCAATGCAATAAAATTCAATCATGATAGATATCAAAGAAAAATAGATGTAAATCACCATGTTTATAAGGCTGATTCAACAGAATATACCCTCTATGGCCAACTGATATTATTAGATACCTGTTTTGCGAGCCAGATTTGGTCAGTCTATCTGGAAAGTGTTAGCCATTCTTTTTAAATGGTGGAAAAATATTATTAATTTCTAGTCAGTATTTCTTTTTAGGAAAACAAAAGAAAAGTATTGTTTTGTATATGAAAAAATAGTAAGCCAAAAGTGCTCAGTATTTTTTTTATTCAGCCTCAGCTAAGATCATAGTATGCACAAACTCATGCTCAAACTCATACTGTTTTGAATTGAGAGTTTGCTTTCTACTAGATTGGTTGCAAAATGGGTAGAAAAACTGGATTCATACCTTTCCAAGGGTATTTGTATGAAAGTAAATCTAACAAACTCAGCTGTAATTTGAACTCAACTCAATAATTTCTCTTTTGAAGCCATTAACTATTATGTCACCTGCACATCCACTGTTGTAATGGTAATGTTAGCCATTTCCTCATAAAGAATTATTCAGCATTTATTGACTGAGTAGCCAGTGATACTGGAATTGCACTTTTCTATTTCATCTCTGGAAAAGTACTAGAATCTCTAATCAACTCTGAATTGGTTAAGCATCTCACATTGCAGGGTCTTCTTTCAAATAAAGCTTTCACTTCTCTAGGTCAACTACTTATGTGTTAATGATTATTACTGAAATTATCTCTCAAGCTTTAGATAAAGATGTTAAGCTCCAGTTGTTGCTTTGGACATCTCGAAAGCATTTGGCAGGGTTTGGCATGCCATTTTTCTTCATAAGTTGACAGATTATCGTATTTCTGGATAAATTTTCAAGCTGGTTCAGTTTTTCTAATCAAATTGTGAAATGAAAGTTGTCCTGAATGGCCACTCTTCTCGATCTCTCTGCATTAATGCAGGTGTACCCCAGGGCTCTATCTTTGGACCTATGGTGTTCTTAATTTTTATCAACAAACTTTCTGATGGCATCAATTCACAACTCAGTATCTATGCTGATGATATAGTTATTTACTCCTGTCTTAATAGTAAGTCTGATAGGTTTGATGAGGTCAAACTGGCAGCAGATCTAAAAAATGACCTAAAATCTGTTAACTGGGACAAGGAATGGCTTGTTAATATTCATACATTCAAAATGAAAATGTTCTCTATCAATCATCTGAGAGACCTCTTTCTGCCATCCATCAGGGGAGTTAATCCTTGTGCCTTCTTGGGCTAACATTTTCCCCTGACATGAAGTGGAAAGATTTTGTTGAATCAATTGCTAGTTGCAAGGAAAATTTGTTTGCTGTGTCATGCTAGACAATTTTTCTTGCTTGAATCTATCTTACATATTTATAAGTCTACCACTTAAATGCTGCTGCCACATTGTTTGGTTCTCTTGCTATATATTTAGATATTCTTGGTAAAATACAAAGAATCTGCAATGTTATTGGTCCTGACATGACATTTGAGCTTCAGCCATAATATATATTCCTTGTGGCTTTTCTATAAACACTTTTATGTTAATATTTTCTGATGAACTTTCTTCTATGGTACCTAGATTTTATGAATTTAGGTGCAGTACTAGATTAGTAGCAAGGTCTCCTCAATTTTCAGTCGATTTGGCCAGATGTAACCATAATTTCTATGTTAACAGTTTTTTCTCTTACACGTCTTGTTTGCTAAATTCTTTTCTGGCTTCTTACTTTCCAGCCAACTTTGAATTTCAAATATTTAAATGCAATGACAATCATTATCTTCTGTCTTCTTGATTCCTCTTCTTTTATTGTTCTCACTCCTGAATAATGTTTCTCTTTTTTTTTAGTGTGTTTAGTGCCTTGCCTGGGGTAAAAAGATTAAAAAACTAAATTAGCAGTTTTCTTATAAAGAAACAGTTGGTATTCATTGACTGAGAAGCCATTGCTACTATCAGTTGAAGTTTAAAAAATCTTTCTCTTAAAACAATTTTTCAGGAAAATAAATTTCTCATGTTCACTGTTATCACTCTTTCCAGTATTGATGGAGGCTTCCATCTTAACCTTTTGTTTGAAGTAGTGTGGAATATCAACATCTTGATAATGTCATTATTTTCTCTTCAAGTTACATGTGCTATCTATGATCTGATGGGTCTTTTTAAGAACATGAATTGAGTTTTTAGGTTAGTGTTTTTGTTTTGGAGCAATTTGCAATGTTAGAGGAAATTACTTTGAGCACAGTCTATTTTGTGTTTGATTTTGTTTTAAATGGTCTATATACAAAGATATTTGAAGCATTTAGCATTTACTAATTCCCCATCCTGAATTTTTATGGTGGATTCTTAGTATGTGCCATCATTGCTTTCATTCCAGTTAGGCTTAGGACAGTACAAATCCAGACTAGGATATGAAATTGTGGTAGAAAGACTGTATGTTAATTTCCCAATAGAGGTGAGTATGTATACCTTGAAAATCAGCAGTTAAAATACTGGCTTCTGACAACTAACTGAAGATATGCAAATATGTTCAGCCATGTCTGGGTCCTTTAATTTTTTTTTAATCTTTTATTCTCCTTTGTGTTTTTAAATTTACCTCTTTCTCCCTTTTTATTTTCTCCTCATCCTCTTTGTTTACCTATTTCAACTCACCCTTCCTTTTTCCCTCTTCTTTTTTTTCTCCCTCAATCTCTTTCCCTCTTCTTCCTATTTTTTCATCTCTTTTTTTTTCTTTCTTCTAATATTATTCAAAAACATAACTAAAAAAAACCCCCAAAAAACGAACTAATTCTGTGAACTTTGTAAGCTGTTGTAGTCGGCACCCACTCATATCTGAGTATTGGGATTGACATTTTCTCTCTTTATTTCCTTTCTCTCCTCTGGTTGTGGGGACAGAGATGGTTGTGAAGGCTCAGTTTAATCCTGAAGAGTTGTGGTCAAGAGTAACAAAGGAGTGTGGGTGGTGGATGTGGCTGAGTGAGTTGGGCTCCCCTGACAGCACATTGCAGATCCTCTTTATATTGATGGTTGGACTCAAAAGTCTTGATCCCCCCTTGGATGGTCCTACACCAGGAAGGCTGATTTGGGTCAATGTTGGCCTGTGTCAGGGATGTCTTTCAACTGATTCTCAAAGAATTGTTTTGGTCATCCATGTAGCCTCTTGCCAAGATCATATATAGGAGTTGGGTGGGACGCATTCTAGTCACATGACCCACCCAGTGGAGGTGATGTTGAAGGATGGTAGCCTCAATGATGGGGAGAGATGTCTGAGAGAGGACCTCATTGTTGGTGATGTAGTCCTCCTAACTGATGTAAAGGATTGTTCAGAGCTTTGTTTGCTGGAACCACTCCAGATGTTTGATGTAAGCAAGTAACTAATTAATCTTTTATGACCCACCCCTTACACAAAAACGAAATTGTTGCTTTGCATAAAGTGGGGAGTGGGTAGAATTTACATGCTTATTAATGTTTCTCCAAAGTTTAAAATGTTTACAATGCACTTTCGTTCAAATGTTGACCAAGCTCCCATTGACAATTTCAAAACTCTCATCCTCAAGTGAGCAGTGACAATGTCTGATACAAACAAGTGTAGTTGAATAAATATAATGTATGGAGAACAAATTTTTTCTCAAAGTCATTGAGAGTTCAATCCTTACAAAATTCTCTATGATTATGCCAGGTCAGCCTCTGCAAAATTCTTATCTGTGTACATTTATTTTCACCAGATTATAGTTTTTTTTATCTGTCTCAGTTTCTCACATCTATTTGTCTGTCTATCTTAAATTTATTCATATCTATGTTAATTTCTATCTCATCCTGTTCATATCTATCTATCTATCTATCTATCTATCTAAAATTTATTCATATCTATGTTAATTTCTCTCATCCTGTTCATCTCAATCTATCTATTTTAAATTTATTCATATCATGTTATCTATCTCATTAATTTCTATCTCATCCTGTTCATATCTATCTATCTATCTATCTATCTACCTTATTTTATTTTATGTTAATTTCTATCTCATTTAATTTCTATCTCATCCTGTTCATATCTATCTATCTATCTATCAATCTATCTATCTATCTTAAATTTATTCATATCTATGTTAATTTCTATCTCATCCTGTTCATATCTATCTATCTATCTTAATTTTATTCATATCTATGTTAATTTCTATCTCATCCTGTTCATATCTATCTATCTATCTATCTATCTATTTATCTATCTATCTAAAATTTATTCATATCTATGTTAAATTCTCTCATCCTGTTCATATCAATCTATCTATCTATCTTAAATTTATTCATATCTATGTTAATTTCTATCTCATCCTGTTCATATCTATCTATCTATCTATCTTAAATTTATTCATATCTATGTTAATTTCTATCTCATCCTGTTCATATCTATCTATCTATCTATCTATCTATCTATCTAAAATTTATTCATATCTATGTTAAATTCTCTCATCCTGTTCATATCAATCTATCTTAAATTTATTCATATCTATGTTAATTTCTATCTCATCCTGTTCATATCTATCTATCTATCTAAAATTTATTCATATCTATGTTAATTTCTCTCATCCTGTTCATCTCAATCTATCTATCTATCTTAAATTTATTCATATCTATGTTAATTTCTATCTCATCCTGTTCATATCTATCTATCTATCTATCTATCTATCTCAGCCTGTTCATATATATCTCAACCTGTTCATATCAATATATCTTAGTCTGGTCATATCTATCTATCTATCTATCTATCTATCTATCTATCTATCTATCTATCTATCTATCTATCTATGTTTCAGATATATAATTTGACCTGGAACAACTGATTACATTGCCTGATGATACATCCATATTTATATAGTATTTGCAATATATTTTAACATTATTTATATTTGCTGGTGATGAATGTAGCAACTCATTCAACAGGATAAAAAACAAAACCTGTTGAAGGGCAGATGAGCTCTTTATAGTAGCCTACAATATGTATAAGGCAAGGATGGGGTCTCAAATGATAACGTTCCTAGAGATGGTGTCTCAATAAAAACACTCACTGTACTTGGGCTATTATGAGTGTCTGAGTTAGGCATCAGAAATAGAATCTGGCCTTGTAAAACCTTGTCTCAAAATCATTTACAAATTCTCTGTCAGGCAGGACCTACCTTGCTTTGTGTCAGATTAATCAACAAACAAAAAAAAACAAAGCTATGTATATATGCTATGCATGTATTATTTATATTTGTAATGATAATTTAATCATTTTTAATCGTATATATTTACTTCTAAAGTCATCAGGAAGCTAGAGTATCAGACAAGCATGTTTAAATGTTAGCCTCTGTCTGTGTTTTGCAGCAGGAAAATATCTACATTATATGGTGGAAAATGTTATCTACCTGTGTCTATTGATTTATTTCATTCTGCTTTTATCTATCTATCTATCTCAGCCTGTTAATCTATCTATCTATCTATCTATCTATCTAAGGCTGTTCATTATCTATCTATCTAAGTCTGTTCATTATTTATCGCTTTCTCTCTCTCTCTCTCTCTTTATTTATCTATTTAAGTCTGTTCATTATCTGTCTATCTATTTATCTCAATTCATATGTATGTATTTTATTTTTTTTAATTTTAGGTAAGAAATGTTTATCTATTGAATAAGTCTTAATTATCTCAATTTATATTATCTTTGATGTGTGTGTGTGTGTGTGTGTGTGTGTGTGTGAATTGCTGCAATTTTTTTTTTATTTCTATGCAATGAAATATCCAATAGTGAAAAAAAGCTAATGTTGGGGCTTTGAATCTCTGCTGATCATAGCAAAACACATCATAGAAATCACTAAGAAACAAATACAGAGCATGAGAATGGCAAAATCTATTATCCTTATAAATAAAAAAAAATAATTATCTAACTAAAAAGAAATTTTTGAAGCCAGATCAGCTTAATCAATGGCTGAAATATTTTGATAACAACAAAGATGGTGAAAACAGACCAAATATAAATGGTGTAAATAATTCTTTATCTACCTAAAAAATAAAAAACTATTGGCAATCATGGGTAAACATGCCTACAATAAGACAGTTTTTTCCCATGACACTGATTATTTAACTGCTGTCACTCTCTGGCAAAGTTTATTGTTTTAAAAAGTGATGATTAGAATTGGAATAAAATCTAAACATCTGATGAAAGGGAATTTATACATTTTCATTATTCTTGAAAATTTACAGCAAAAATATCAAAATTTATTAGATTGTTTTTTACAATAAGAATTTTATATTTACAACATTATTGTAGGCTAATATTACCATTACCATTAGAATATAAAATAAACTGTGGGTTCAATGCTAAAGGTGGAAAAGCTGAAATATAATATAATAATATTAATGCAATAATATCAAAATCCACTATTCAGAGTTGCAAGAAATTTTCAAGAGATTTTGATATTATTACATTAAGAATATTATTATAATATATTACACACACACACACACACACACACACACACACACACACACAAAGTTTGGTTAAAGACCAATGAAAAATCTTTTGTTAACAATAGAAATCATATCACTTGAAGACTTACAACAGCAGCAACAACTAAAATGGATACCATATGTAACTTGAAGAGAAAATAACAACATAATAAAGATGTTGATGGTACACAATATCAAATAAAAGGTTAGGAAGGAAACCCCCTGCTCAATACTGAAAAGAATGATAACAGCTACAAGACTTGAAAATCTTATTTTAATTAAAAATTGTTTAAAGAGAAAGATTTTATAAATTTCAACCAAAAGCAGTACTGGCTGCTCAGTCAATGAATACCAAATGTTTCCTTATAGGGAAACAGCTAATATTACCATTACCATTAGATATGTCATTTACTTCTTGATTTTCTTGTTATATATCATTTTGAGTGATCTTTCTGTTTTTTATAGGATAAATAACAAAATGAAAAAATTGTATTAAAAGGTCAATATTAAAAAAAAAAAATGAATTTGTAAGTTTTAAAATGTAAAATCTGAAAAAATAGGTTTCATTTTATTTTCAGTAAACAAATAAAACTGCTTGTAATTCCCACAAATATTATGACTAAAATCAGCAATGACTTGTAGTTACTTGGCAGAGGCATTCAGAATGCTACTTGACCAATCATGAAAACTTGACTTACCACTTATTAAATATTAAGGAAAACATTTTGTAGGATGTCCAAACACTCTTCAGTACTAATGAACAGTTAAGATTATTAAATGGAAAATGAGATACAGAGATCTGAATGTGCATTGGAATACCAAAGGATGGCTTCCAGGTGGTAAACAAAGTATTAAGAGATAAGAAAATTTTGTCAGAAACAAAGAAAACATTACTGAAATGCTACATTATCCTCCTATATGGTAGTAAATGTTGGACTATTTCATCCATGACAAATACACAACTTGAAGTGATTGACATGTTTCTACAGAAGGATGCAAAGAATACCATATACAGAACATGTGAGCAATAAAGAAGTTTTAAGGAAAAAAATCAGAATGAAAAGGACATTTATATTTATAATCAGTAAGAAAGAGTTTAAAATTTCTGTAATACATAATGGGGAAAGAAGGCTTGAAGAATTTAAAACTCACAGGGCATATTGAAGGTAATTGCATACAATAATATTATGATATTATATCAGAGATAATATTGTGTATCATTTCTTACATGGGTAAAATATAAATATGATTTTCATCGATTGATTTGTTTGTTTAACGGCATATCAACTCCTTATGGGTCATTTAATTTAAGGAGTTGATATCTCGTATAAGTCAAATCCAATTTTTGATGTTGTACATGGATCAGTTAATCATTATTATTCATGAACGGTTTCACTGTGTGTTTTATACAAAAATACCAACATGAACTGCCTCTTTAGTGAATACAAGTGTCACCCCAAACATTTTTGCTCACAAAATGCAATTCTTCCTTTCAATTCTGGAAAAAGGGTGATCAATAACTGAGCAGTACGAAAATAAAAAAATAAAAAAACTAGACAAGATACCACTATACATTAACAATGAAATTTGCAATGCTTTTTTTTATATAGTTAATTATTTGCAATAAACTTTTATAAAGAAACTATTTACAATGAATTTTATAGTAAATAATTTGCAATGCATTTTTATAGTGAAACCATTTGCAATGCATTATTATAGTAAATCATTTGCAATGCATATTTGCAGTAAGTAATTTTCTATGCATTTTTATACTAAAATCACTTGCAATGAGTTTTTATAATAAAATCATTTGCAATACATTTTTATAGTGAAGCTATTTGTAATGAATTTTTTAATAAAATCATTTTAAGTGAATGTTTATAAAATCATTTGCAATACATTTTTATAGTGAAGCTATTTGTAATGAATTTTTTAATAAAATCATTTTAAGTGAATGTTTATAAAATCATTTACAATATATTTTTATTGCAAATAATTTGCAATGCATTTCTCTGTATGCTTTTTGATATGTCGCTCTTGATGTAATCATCAGAGTGAATGAAAGTGTTGATCAATTTAATAAACCATTCCCGTGATATTATGAGTTAAATGAAATAATTTTTATACAATTCCTGAAGGTGCATTGGGATAGTGAAAGATGCCTTCCAAAAGCTAAGCAAAGTATCATTAAAAACAAAGAAAAGAGTAATGAACTGTTATATAATACCAGTCCTCCTATATGGCAGTGAATACTGGACAATCTCTTTACATATAAAAAAAGAGACAATATATGGTTCTACTGAAGGATGCTGAGAATACCATGGACTGAACATGTGAGCAATGATGAAGGTTTAGAGAAAATGTAAACAAAAAAGACACTTATAATTAGAATCAGAAGGAGATAATTGAAATATTTAGCGTACATAATGAGGAAAGTGGGCTTAGAAAATTTGACACTCACAGGCCATATTAAAGGAAAGAGAAAGTAGCACATTACCTACCTAACAAGGTTTTGTAAATGGTTAGAAAAACAGGGATAGAAGAGTTAGTGAAAAGACAAAATTTGGTGTGTGTCCTGACAAGTTTCTGTTTTAGTATCTATCCTCCCACCACATTTGTATCCTACATTATTATTGTGGGAACCTAACCTACCTACAAATGGACTCTTCCACACTTATATAATGTGGTTACCAACTATGAGGAACCTGGGACCAGGTGTGAGTCACCAAGAGTGTATCACCGAGTGAGTGAATGAGTGAAGGAAGACACCAGGGAGAGAAAAGTACTCTCCTGTCCACATTTACCATTGTACTACTTTTTTCCGAGAATATACTCTTTAACCTTATATCTGAGTCAGTGTTATCTTTCTATGGTCCAAAACCATAACAATTATTAAGGCATTATTCTGAAGTTTTTCTTTTTTTTTAAATGTCATTCAGAATGTTTTTATTTAAAAGATTCAAATATCTTGTTTTATGATTTTTTAGTCAAATTTCTTATTTTATAATTTTTTATGATTTTAAATTTTATAATATGACAATAAATAGCATCACTCCTTCTGTTTTTCTTTTCCCCTTATGTTAGATAATGTAGGATACAAATGTGGCGGTATAATACACTGATTGATACGATGCATGCTGATGGCACCCAAAAATTTACTAAGAGCTACAAAGGATAAGAAATTGTGGAGAGCTATGGTCGCCCATGTGCTGAAGGGACATGGCACATAGAAAAAGGAAATGTTTTCAGTATCAGAACAATATCTGTAAAGGAAAATGGCTTATTTCTCATTTATGACAAACACAGGACATTATTGGAGAAGACACAGTGATTGCTGAATGGCAAATTTGCTGAGAAGAGTAAGATGGCAGACTTTGAAAACATAGTGAGAAGAACAAATGGAAGACTGTGCTTGGGCTATAGCAACACTGCCATGACAATAATAACAAGCATGTCAGTGATTTTCTTCTGGTATCTGGGCCTAGGGGATCTAAAGGCTGGGGAAGGGCAGCAAACAAAGCCGCACAATAGAAACCAAGGAGCAACATGCAAACAGGTGCAAATGTTTTGTAGGACAGAGAAAGGTAACACCTATAAAAGAAAGAGATTTTTTAAAAAAAAAAGGGTGTATGCACAAAATTACTAGCTTAATAAAAAATAAATTCTAAAAAAAAAATAATAAAACTTTAAAAAAAGAATAAAAAAAATAAATAGAAAAAAATGCTTCCAGGGGAGAAGGAAGAGGAAGAAAAAGAAATAATAATAATAAAAAGAATAAATAAATTAATGTATGTGTCATTGTGTGTACATATGTGTATATGCCTTTGTGTTTGTATGTATATGTACATGTATATCCATATGCTTCTATATGTGCACATGTTTTGTGTGTACATTTATGTGTGCAGTTGAATGTATGCTAACAGATGTCTGCATTTGTGGCTATATGTGTGCATTCATTTATGTGTTGATATATATGCATGTGTGTTTATATGTATGTCCATTTCAGTGTGTGTGCATGTGTGTCTTCTTACAAGCTTGTCTGCAGCTATTTGCATTTGTGTATGTGTGTGGGGACATTTGTGAGCATATGCTTGTGTATTTATGTGTCTGTGTGTGCTAATGAGTTTGTGGATTTCTTATGCAAGCATTTAAATTGATTATAAAC